CATAGCTTAGAGATGTTGCAATGACCCATTGGTTATACCCGAATCTAATAAGTTTCCTCTGATGCATTACTTCAGTCCATGACGGCCGTACTATGGTATCAAGCTTTCATCCGCGCACAGATTTTCTTCCATGTTAAAGAATTGCACAAATCCTTCAGTTATCGGATTATAAAGTGGCTGAACTTCTGCAAATTAGTCATCTGCTTTCAGACTGTCATTGTTGTCAAATGAAGATATTTCATGATCGCGTCAAATCTGTCTCTATACATTGGTTGACTGATGGCTGCATTGTGAACAACTCGTTCGGGATTCCAATACATGTGACTACGTGGTAATGATTTATAGCCAGAGAAATAAAATAACGAGAGAAGCACGCATTTCAACCGTGCTTACACTGAAGGAGTGCTCAATTTTAAACGGGCGAACTCAATTATCTGTCTCACCATGTGATGTCATCAGGTAAACTACATTCTGGGTGCATTCCTAACAATGAAAAATGAAACTAGAACGGAGAAAACATGTTAATGCGGCACAGTGTTTCATGCTGTAATAGCATCAGCCAAGGATATCGGAACATGCATATAAAAATGCGCAAACTTTTCAAGTATGTTACCAATAACCTAGTCAGTCCCAAGGTACACGTCACCGTCACAACGAGATTGGAACTTAACGTGGTGCGACGGTTTGACCCGTTGAGCTATACTGGGTGATGCCTCCGGGCCCCTTGAGAGCTACTCCTGCCAGGTTGGTGAATGATGAGAGGTCAGACAAATTCAGTCTCCTCATCCTCCAGGTTTGGGTTTGAAATGGGATGGCGTCCACTTCTGTAATACTAATTCATCGCCACCACCACGCTGCCTTGCGGACAGGCTCTTGAGCCAAAGGCTTTGGATGAGGACACTAATCGTCCTCCTGTCTAGATATGGGCGCCAGGCAGCAAACTCAGCCCAAATATAACCAAGACAATTTCTCCAGACACAAACTTCATCCTGCATCGGCCGTCGCGCAGATTAGCAAGGGTCGCCTTATCTGGTGCATACAGCAGGGCAGATAAGCGAAAACATGCTACTGCTGACACCTCGCATCTTGCCTTTCCACCTGTTTCTCTTACTCCTATCCCGGCCCCCATTACTAACCTTCTTACTATACTTCCCAGCTTAATTGACAGCAACTGAAGTGCCACTGGAGTAGAAACATCTACAGCCACCTTCCCACAGCACCCAGCGGAGGACTATAGGCAACAACCCTTTATAAGGCCACGCTGTTCCGTTTCCCTGGCGGCGTTCAACGTTCGCACTCTAGGACAAATAGGTCAACACGTTGCACTCGCACGCATCTGGGACACACTGGGTATTGATGTGTGTTGTGTGTCCGGAACTGGGATCAACTGACGTTGTTGACTTAACTGCACCCGGCTTCTCCTTTCATTATTGGTTGCACGCATCTAGAGACGCCGATGTAGCACTCACGGGTCAAGCAGAGGTAGGCATCGTTTTCAGCTCCAAGCATGAGCGACCATTGGTTGATTGCATTCCAGTGAACTGCCGTTTGTGTGCATCCCGTTCGACGAGGTTAACTAAGGTTTATTCACGAAGTAGTACAAAACAGTTTGTTTGTGAGTTCCGCTTATGCTCCCACCGACTGCAGTTCTAATGCTGTCAAGGACACATTCTATCACGAACTGAACGCGCTACTACAGTGCTACAAGTTCAGATAATACAGTACTTGCAGGGGATATGAATGCACAAGTAGGGCGTCTGAGCTCTTCAGAAACTCAGCAAGGTGGTACTTATGGGTTTAACTCAGAAAGGACTGATAACGGCGAGCGTTTGCTGCAACTGTGTGCGGAGTACCAGTTGTTTCGTAGTAGCACTGCTTTTAGACACAGTGGGCGCCGAAGTGCCACTTGGCGTCATCCTGTAGCTAGCCAGCGATGGACCCAACTTGACCACATTGCCATAAGTTACAAGTGGCGTGGTTCCATGCTGAATTGCCGCTCGTACTGGAATACCTGCGTCGACTCTGATCATGCCTTAGTACGATAGCATCATTCCATGAAGTTTATCGGGAGGCACACCAAGCGTCTGCTCCGATTAACAGCTGAGAAATGGTCTCAGCCCTCGGTCAGCCAAGCCTATCAGGACGCACTGCGTAGCGAACTTTACCTGTCTTGTCCTAATGACACTGAGCTTCAGTGCAATAGGATCTCGGCCGCCATGCACGACGCAGGAGCATCTGCTTGTGGCACTACTAATCGTCACCGCACCAGTCACCGGATATCCGAAAGGTCGGTGAACCAGTTGGAATCCAGAAGAAAACGCTAAGCTAGCTCTGAGCACAATGTGAGTACACGGACTATTAGGCGCGAATTAAAGCGGAGCCTATGTGCTGACAAGGAAGCCTGGCGGACCAGTCGGGCTCAAGAAATGGAGGAGGCAAGAGCAGTAGGTAAATACCGCAGGATCTTCTAGCTGATCCGCACCAGTGGTCCCAAGAAACCAGGCGTCAGCGAGACAATTAGAGACGGCGCGGGTGCACTAATACACAATGAGGAGCGATGTATGACACGCTGGGCGGAACACTTTCAAGATCAGTTCAGCGAATTCCTGCTCCGGGACATCTACCTACTCAGGTAATGCAAGATGAGCCATGGACGGTAAGTTTAGAGCTTCCGTCGTAGGCCGAGGTCCGAAATGCGATCACAGCCATCAATCGTTTTCGTGCCGCTGGCCCGGATTCCCTCCCACCTACACTATTTAAGGATGGAGGTGAGGTCTTCTGCGAAGCACTGACCTCCCCATTCGAGCGTATCTGGAAGAAAGTGTCCCGGCTAATTGGAGCAAATCGATTCTAGTGGCAATATAGAAGAAGGGCAGTCGCACAGACTGTTCTAACCACAGGGGTATTCGCCTAACACGCCAGCTGTGACAAAAGGAATGGCCACCATTCTCGTTCGTCACCTCACTGTGGAACGGGAATCTCGGATTAGGGAATAGCAGGCAGGTTTCTGCCTAGGAAGTGGCTATATATATATTCACTCTGCGGCAGGTGCTAGAGTAGTGCCACACATACCGCAGACCGACAATAGCTGTGTTCCTCGATTTCAAGAGTGCGTTCGATTCGGTCGATCGATCGATTCTGTTTGAAATACTTGCGCGTAAAGGTGTTCCCACGAAACATGTGAACATCATTCGTGCTCTATACTCGAACACTACAGGCCGGGTCAGGGTTTACGGTGACCTGTCGGATACCTTTCCGACCACAAGTGGTGTTCGTCAGGCTTGTCCGATTTCCCCGATTTTGTTCAATTTCGTCGTGGACTCTATCATGGAGTGTTCCCTGGCGGAATTCCACGATGCAGGCGTTGAAGTGCTGCCTGGTGAAAGATTAGTTGATCATGAGTATGTGGACGATATTGTCTTGCTTTCTGAAGATGTGGCGGCGGCACAATCAACCCTTAATTGCCTGTCAAGAGTGATTCCATCATTTGGAATGCGTTTCGTACCTTCAAAGCGCAAAGTGTTGCTACAGGACCACAGACACTTTACGATCCCTTGACCCTTGCTGACGAGGAACTCGAGGTGGTTGATCAATTCCCTTATTATGGTAGCTGCATCAGCGAGGATGGGCGCAAAAAAGCTGAAACAATTCAAGCATTGCAAAGGCATTGCAAAGTCTTCTTGAAACTGCAACATCTTTGGCGACAGAAGGGAGTTTTCCTATGGCTGTAAGGCCGTATATACAAGGCCACAGTGAGGGCCGTTCTGCTCTTGACTTGACTCCTTCGGTCTGAAGATCGGAGGCGCCTTCAAGTCATTGATCATGGTTGTCTGCGAAGCATTGCTGGTGTCGGATGGCACCAGCGTGTCCGCAACGATGACGTGCGTACGCGAGTACTAGGCAGTGATAATCATGCTAGCTCCCTAGAACAACAGATCGCACTGAATAAGTTGCGTTGGTTTGGGCACGTGCTACGTATGCCTGGTTACTGCTTACCGACGGGGGCCTTGTTTCGTCTGCCAGATGTAGGGTGGCGCAAGGCTTGAGGTGGACACACGTTGAGTTGGCAGCGGGAACTGGAGTCACTGATGACCAAACTGGGTGCCGTCAGTCCATCTTAAATTCCAGGCTGGAGTCCACGTGACCCCCTTGTGTTTGGCTCGAGACTTTACGGGATGGTTCGCAACCGACACCAGCGGCGCGTCTGCTGACGTCTTCTAATCGGACTGCTTCTTAAAAGTGTGTTTGGTGCTGAGTTATCTGCGGGGTAATGGATGATTATGACGCGGGGGAGTGAAAGCCGCAAGGAAGTTGTCTCGCCGATGTCGTCTTATCTTTGCACGATAGCCAGCTGTTTGTGACGGTACGTTGTTAACACAAGGTCTAGGAGCCTTGATCCTGAATGTTTGCTTAGGGTATTAAGGTTTATTCTTTATTCTTTATTCCATAGGTCATCAAGGTTGTATGGCAGCGAAGTAGTAGCTCAAATAGCTGATGTACTGCTGTTGTTGATGAAGGTACACACCACGGTATCGTTCCTTGCTGACGTCATTCACAAAGGACAGATGGTTGCAGCTCATGTAAGCAGTAAATATCGCATATTTTACATGATTACATGCGATAACGTGTTCTAGACACAAATATGACAAAAAATTGATGCCTTCAATGAATCATTACTTAAAGTATACTCACGTTTTTGGATTTTCCATTTTACAGGCAATTCGTGATCAAACAAGAAAGAGAAAACTATTCTTTCAAAAATAAACTTGGGCTGACTAAAATAATTCCAAAAAGACCATTATTACGTTACCTAAGCTTGCAACCAAAGAAACTATGAATAGGAGATGAATTTAACATCTTAAATCACATTTTAGTAAGTGTGCTTCAAAAAAGAGGCCAGCAGAAAATGGGTTAGTGAGAGAAGTAAATATACGACCCTGTGTACATTAACAAAAGATGAATAACCACAAACGTAAACAGGATGAAGAGAAATGACATACCACGGGTTCATGGTAGGCGACCAGTTGAATACGGCTCAACGTGGCGGTAATGAGTTCACGTGAATATACCGAGTGCCAAACTTTCTGAGGGCCGGATATCAAGTCATCAAGAGAAGAAGCAGACGACCTAAGTCAACGGGAAACCAGGTAACAGCGTCGGTTGAAAAAGGAATGCAAAATGACAAGAGTATATATATATATATATATATATATATATATATATATATATATATATACAAAGCTAGAAGTCGTTCAAAAATTCAACTATCTGGGAAGTTGTATCAGCGCCCGTGCGATTGAATATGAAATCACGAATCGTAGAGCAAAAGCTCGGGGCGCTTTTGCTAACCTTCGTCACTTGTGGCGCCGGCGCGACATCACTCTTACCTTGAAGGGTAGAGTGTACAATGCAGCAGTACGTTCGATCCTACTGTACAGTTGTGAAACCTGGCCGCTTAAAGCAGCGGACCTGAAGAGGCTAGTTACGTTCGACCACCGGTGCCTTCGTAATTTAGCTCACATCAGGTGGGAACACCGCGTGAGCAACGAGCGTGTTCGACGCCTTGTTTATGGCACAGGAAAAGGAACTGAATCGCTCAGCACCGTTATTTCACGCATCAGGCACCGATGGCTCAGCCACGTGTTACGCATGCCAGCTTACCGACTTCCGCGACGTGTGTTGTTTGCGCGCCAGGGGTGTGGATGGAAGAAGAGGAGGGGTGGCCAAGCGATGACTTGGTCCAGAGGAATGAAGGCCCTCACTTCTGAGCTGGCCTCGGTTGGAGCGTCTAGGCTCCCTGGTTGGGGTCCGAAAGACGATGAACACGTTTGGTTGGACACACTTGCTGATATGGCTAGGAGCCGACCTCAGTGGCGTTCGTGCTGTGAGTTTCTTTGTCCCACCTCATCCCTCTTAGCCTCCCCCTCCAACCACGATCTCATTATTTAGCCTCATATAATTTTGCATAGTAATTTTTTTGTTTTGGTGCACAGCAGCCTGCTGGTAGCTTTCCGGAACGATGCCCATCCGTTACCGGTAGCTCAGCCAGCTTGCACCAGTTGCTTTTTTTCTCTCCTTTTTTCTATGTATTGCGGCACAGTAGCTGAGGTGTTCCCCACCTCTAGCTAACGTGTATGACGAAATGACCCTACTTAGTTAAATGCGATCGATTACGCTTCGGTTTGCTGATAGGAGTGACATACTGGCACACAAAATGGGGCTGTCATTAGGCAAAGGACCATATTGTCCCCGAAGGCTGATTTGATTTGACAGCGAATGTTGCATTCAGCTTAACTAAGCGGTTAACAGAGCAGACATGTTATTAACTCTTTGGTGTAAAATGTTTACTTGAAATAAATGTTGCCACTGCACTTTTTGCGATTTCGCGCATTACGCTCATTAAACTGCGGACTCGTACCTTGCACCTTGAAGTAATGCAATCGTGTATTTCTCATTCTGTTAGATCATGACTATCTTGCCGATGCTTGATCAGTACTTTGTACTGTGGATACGGTATCCGTGTTGATATAATCGTGGGTGCATGATTCTATGAAAACTGCTGGGTATCATTATTCAAGGAACTCGAACCAACCAAATCATCGCCTGAGGAATTTATGATGTCACCTGCAGTGATGGCCGATGTAAAATACCCTAGACTTGCATGAACATTCTCCTGTTTATCTGTGGTCAGTTCCCAAATGACGGGCTGTTTTGTCAGCAGTAGTCCTTGATGTCTGCCGCGCTGCCTTGATGCTTCTTCACCGCAGTTGGGCTAAACCAACTTACACTTAAACTAGGTCTTTTTAAGCTGGATAAATTTCATTCCATTTTATTTGGTTTGTTCTGCCTACTTGAATAATCTATTAACTGGCCATGTTGCTTACGCTAATTGCGCTTATCTTCGCTTGCGTTTGTAGCATGTTTAAGTAACTTGTGGACACTTACTTATCGCGGATTCGTTGCTAACCAACTTACTTCATATGGTAATTTAGCGAAGAGTTATGCCACCGTATCTGTATGCAATATTGGATTTATTTTATTTCAGCTTGTCGTTTAAAGTGAATGGCTGTTGTTTGATATCCCCGGTGTGGCTGCGCTTGATGTGAAGCTTGACAAGGTACCTACCTGTCTAGTATCCACTATCTCGTTCATACTGGCTCCAGGAGACAGTTGGTCGTTGCTGGAGGGGACGGGGTGCACGGTCCTTGTGGCCGTGCTAGGCTCAAAGAGCGGTTTCATGCACTCAGTGTGGAGCGGACTACGGTCCAGCCACCGCCTTGTGTGCGCTTGATTCCCCAAACACAGTGTGCTTGTGTTTGCCTGTGAAGGAGTGTGGGCCGGCTCCGTTGATGAAACGTGGCTCCCATCCACATGCCTCCCGGTCTTATTCCTTCGGGTTTACACTGGATATGAGGTGTGTGGATGGAGCTGTGGGTGGTGCAGCGCAAGCCACCCATAGTTGGCCGCATCCGGTTTCGGATTTGCCTGTCACTGTGGCCAGTCAAAGGACGTCTGGGCCTACAGAGGGACCATGGGTGGGTTGCGCTGCACCACCCACAGCTCCATCCACACACCCCATATCCAGTGTAAACCCGAAGGAATAAGACCGGGAGGCATGTGGATGGGAGCCACGTTTCATCAACGGAGCCGGCCCACACTCCTTCACAGGCAAACACAAGCACGCTGTAGTTGGGGAATCAAGCGCACACAAGGCGGTGGCTGGACCGTAGTCCGCTCCACACTGAGTGCATGAAACCGCTCTTTGAGCCTAGCACGGCCACAAGGACCGTGCACCCCGTCCCCTCCAGCAACGACCAACTGTCTCCTGGAGCCAGTATGGACGAGGTAGTGGGTAATAGACAGGTAGACACCTTGTCAAGATTCACATCAAGCGCAGCCACACCGGGGATATTAGGCAACAGCCAATCACTTGAAACGACAAACTGAAATAAAATAAATCCAATAATGCATAGAGATACGGTGACATAACTCCTCGTTTAATTAGCATATGAAGTAAATCGGTTAGCAACGAGTCCGCGATAAGTAAGTGTCCACAAGTTACTTAAACATGCTACAAACGCAAGCGAAGATAAGCGCAATTAGCGTAAGCAACATGGCCAGTTAATAGATTATTCAAGTAGGCAGAACAAACCAAATAAAATGGAATGAATTATAGCCACATTAAGACCTAGTTTAAGCGTAAGGTGGTTTAACCCAACTGCGGTGGGTATTTATTATGTAGCTGTGGTGTGTAGGGTGAAAGTGACGTTAGGTACGCTTTGCAGCGAAGCTCAACTGTCGGTGAGCAAGCGGCTGACAAGCGAGGAGACCGACTGCCTCGCATAACCATGTTAGCGAAAGCAGCACCCGAGCGGAAACGATTGTAGATCACTAAATTGCATGGGTAGAAGTGAAATACAGAGAACAAATGCATGTGGGCAATGGGTATAGGTGCATATCGTCCTGTAGAATGAAGCTCATAGAGGTAACCTTATCAGTGACCAGAGCATGTTTGCTCATCATCAATAAGCAGAACTTGTTTTTTCAGTCAGTTCTAGGAAGGTGGACCACTAACCACCAGGCTGGGTGAAGGCAGTTACTTCCGCTTTACAGAATGGTGCCTACAAGATACTCCGAGGCCGGATCGAAAAGTTGAAGGTAGACAACGAAAATCCGAAACTGTTTGCCGTGGTCTACCCACTACATTACTTTATTAAAAGGTATGATGTTATCTCCATTTAGCGAAGCTTACAGCGGTGCGCTGAGTTAGAAGGTGTAGTCTATCTCAAGCATGTTGTCATAGATTGACACAGTATGAAATGTTTTTCGATGCGAGGTGTTCACAAGGTATAGGCGACTTGACTCTGGGTACTTAGCTGAAGTGATGTATAATGTTTTACATATTTGTAATGAATAGCATGGACAGGGTAGTCTCTGTGGCGCGCTACTGATGGTTATGATGCCATGGAAAACGAAGCGAGTAATAAATTTAGATGCATGGAGGAGAGGTTTCCGCCACATAATTACTAGGGGTAGGGTACAAACAGGTATTATACTGGCGAGTTTCACAAGCAGGTAAGGTGAGACGTCTTGATGTCTAAGGACGTTCTACGAGACATTATTAGCGCGGCCTCAAAGTGTAGTGTGGTGGAGTAATCAGAGGCGTGGGAGTACACCGAGGTCTCGCTACGACCTAAAGTCCATGGACAATATGAGCAGGCCTTACCACAACGGCCTTCGTATGCTTTGGGCGCTCATGTGCAGCTTCAGCACTTGGTTCGAAGAGATTGCCACTCGCCTCTTCGTCCCAATAATCCGACAAAGTTTGGAGTATAGCACTCCTGCGTATTGTGCTATCATCCGGAGCGAGGCAGAAAAGGTTGAGCGAGTGCAGCATGTGGATACCAGGTTGATTCTCAATTTACGAGGTGTGCTTTACGAAGACCGGTGTAAGAAACTAGGGCTTTACCCCCCACCTTGTCGTCGACTGCGAGGTGACCTCATCATGACCCACCGGATATTACATCTCGGTGAATACCCCAAGTTGAGGCCGCTACTGCATCTGCGCACACCAAGCAGCCTAAGAGGACCTCGATATCAAGCTTGTAGTACCGGATTTGAAGAGTCGCCAACCAACACAGTTTCGAACGGAAAGTGGTGAATGTATGGAGCAGTCTGCCGCAGCACGGTAGTTGAGACAAAGTCGGTGTCGGAATGTAAGAAATTCCTGGACAAACACTGCCGATACAAAATACATTGGGCGCACTCCAACATAATGGGTCTTGGTACTTGAGTGACATTAGATGCAAATACACAGAGATATCTCTTCTTGCTGCTTCCAACCAGTAATCATCACGGCAACATCTGTTAATTCACGATAAATGAGTTCACAGTTTACATAGACGAAAGAAAGGCGGCAGCAGTAGTCCGGTACGTAGTAGTAACGCTTTGCTACTGCGTAACCACCACGTCGCGCGTGGGCTAAAGATATTGCGAGGGCCGCCCAGCCCCTACGCAGACTCGAACATAAACGATGTCACCCGCGGTCAATTTATCACGTCAGTTTGTGGTTCTCATTGAGTCAATGAAACGAGCAAGGCGGTGGTCGATTTGGCGTCATACTACGAAGGGGAGTATAAAAACAAACGTTCAGCATCATTAGCCATGACAAGATTACACACACAAGAGTGCAGTGGTGTTAAAAAAAGGGATTCAGCAAAGCACCGAAGTCACCCGCACCTACACAAGATCTAACCGGTAGTGTGTTGGCTACATGCACGATGTCTGAACCAGTGGGCCCCTGGTTAGTTAACGGATCGCAAGTTGATAGTTAAATGACAAGATCGACTCATAACGGGAAGACTGACTTTGTCTGTTTTGATAATTCAGCGGCGTCAAACGGTGCTGAGGGCGGTAGTTGCTCTAGAGCATCCAAAATATCTTCCATAAGAACCCTGAAAGCAAGTTGACAGAAGGAACGGACCAGTCGAGACTTACTTCCCAAATCGCACAACCGGTTCCGTTGCTAAAACGCGACCACGAAAGCTGGTTGAAGCACAGATGAACGGTAATCCTAGCAAACTGTGTGTATTGGACACTAAGATTAAATCGACCGTATCCCATATGACCGAACTAAACTGGTTTAGTAAGATGGAAAAATCAAAGTCCTCCAGATGCACGGAAGTATACCTCTGATTTGTTCATCAGAGAAAACTGGGGAATACAGCCCAAAAACGTTTGCTCCCCAACGGATATCTGAAAGACATAAGATAGGACAAATAATCTGTGCAGTAGGTGCATACGGTTTGGGCACAATCTGACGGGGTTGGATGAGTGGATGTCGTCATGGGTGGGAGATCAGCGCAGCCGTCCCTAAAAGCAAAAATGGGCATTTGAAAAGATACCACCTACCTGATAAGTTGATGGGATGGCATAAAATATGCCAAAGTGGATGTATCCAAACAGCAGTCCAACAGGACATTGACATCACGTAAATGCAGAAGGAAACAAGGACTGTTTACTTCGGAGCTGAGACGCTTCTTGGATTGATAAAATGGCTCAAGTGTGCTAACAAACCCCTTACTAAGCTGAACTCCAGATGACTGAGATCGAGGTTGGACTCGTGTTGCGCCATTAAGAAAAAACAGCTGAAAATGGAGCACAAGCTGAGGACAAAAACGCTGGTTAAGAATTGATGAATTGTGACTAAATAATGAAAAAGAAATAGATTGCTCCCGTTAGTAGCACGCAACGTGAAAAATAATGATGGGTCATGCGGTGGCTTGTTGCGACAAACTCGCTTCACTTATGGTTCAACAAGTCAGCCAAGGGGTGCATTTCATAACGGGTGAATATAAGAGACCAACCATTCTTGACTCGTCAGATAGAAGATAGAACCTAAAGATACAGACTGAGGAAGTAATTCAGATCAGGTACCTCCTAGGGTTGTAAAGATATAAAAAAATAGGATTCCCGATTCAGGAGTGAAAACTGGAGATACGAAAGGCCAGGACGTAGGAGGGCGATCAGCGAGCGGTGAGTGCCAACCAACCTTGAAAATGGAAGAAGTGGAACATACCAAGTTCCCGTAAATTGTTCCATAAAAGAGTAGTAAGAAGTTGAGCAGGGAGTTGCAGTGCTTATAAACACAGTGGTTGGCATAAATCGACAGCACACTGTTCGCATCCATCGTTGTGTTGAAAGAATGCGAAAATCGTAAAGCAGCTAAAATAATTACTACCACATCCGAACCGTCCAGTTATTTTACCGTGAAGAAGTCCCCCAGTATTCTAGTGAGATAGGGTGTCCACCTTGTAATCCGCAGGTCGCTGGTTCGAATATGCGCAGCTAAGGTGACCCGGGCACCGAACTGCGATGGGCCCAATTGCCACGATGCTCGTCGCAAGAATAACAGTAAATAACAGCGAGAACACCGCGTACAACGTAGACAGATAACAAAAAAGGGAAATTAAAAAAGAACGAGAGCAGAGTTAATTGGGATGGAAAAACAAACTGAAATCAAGAGAAGGAATGAGTAGGTGGCTGTGCTACGCCCGATAGAGTCATTAGCTACTGATGTGAACTATTCCAAAGCCCACATCTACGAAGATGACACACTAACCGCACTGTCCTTCGGCCAATTTCTCCACGCCCTTTGCCATGGCATCGACTGTCTAATTCGCGGTTTCGACTAACTTGGTACAGCCACGGCGTATAATGTACGCCAAGGCGGTCAGCGGACACACAGAGGACATGGCCGAGCAAACGTGGGCGATTCAAGAGTAACAGACACTCTAGGGATGCACTGGAGGGTTTCTCGCCAAAAACCCACTGGTGGACTTTTGCAATGTACCCCCGGTGCTCCCGCGAGACGGGTAATACCCTAGTGATAACATTGAACCAGAGAAAACAGATTGTAGAACCTATGTCAGCTTCATCACATCACAAATGAACTGAGGAAGGAGCGTGTTAGCGAAAAAAGGCGTTCACAGTGGGGGAGCACAGTTACACGAATAACAGCACGACCCTGTAACACTAGGCAGATGGAAATCCAAAGCCACTTGAAACATTTCTCAGTGGGAGCGCTGACCACAGCTTCTGGTAAATTTTTTCCATCGTTCACTACCCGAGTAGATAAGATGACCTCTAGATAAACTCGATGGCTCCTCGGTTTGAAGAGTTTCCAACTGCGTCCACGAGTTGGGATACTTTTCTTGATCTGGAAGTACTGTTGGAGATCGCTACCAAGCTCAACTCTCAGAATGCGTCTTGCGTAGATCAGGTCTTCACGACGGCGGGGGTAGTCTAGGGAGAACAAATTCATATCTGAGGTGATGGTAGTAGGACGAATTCCGAAGAGCTAAGACCGATTCGGAATTTCGCCTCTGAACTTCCTTCAGCAGGTTGTACTCGGACCTGGTGAGTGGGTAACTCGCCAGTAAGACGTACTAAAGGATGGAATGCACATGTGAGAGGAACAGGAGTTTGAAGATTTCAGGAGTCATCCGAGAGAATGATCTCCTTATAGCCCAAAACATCCTGGTAGCTGCAGCGATTTTTCACATATATTGACGTAACTTCGTAGAGGATACAAAGACGTCGAGATCCTTTGCTCGATTGGTAGTCGCTAGGAGGGAGCCATCGATGGGCCAAGTGGATCACCGGCACCAATCGAGAAGACAAAGCACTTATCGCGGTTTATAGGTAACCCCCATACGACGGACCAGTCATGCAACAGGTTAAGTGACAATGGTAATATATCAGCATCCTCAAAGTTGTTGACCTCCATCCACAGTTTCAAATCATCGGCATAGACTAGACAATCGGCTTGAAGCACCGTCGGAAAGTCGTTAATGAAGTGGACCGAACTTTGAGGCACCACACGGGTGCAGAGAGGGCTTCGTTCACCTTCACTCGCAGTAAGCGGCTTTTAAGAAAATCAGCGATCCAAGATAGAACGATCTCAGAAACGCCAATCCTCGAAAGTTTGAAGAAATGTTCATGGGGGACTTTGTCAAACGCCTTGCTGAAGTCGACGAAAACGACATCCAGACGTTTGCCAGCATCCAACGATTTCGCCCAAGCAACGAGTAGGTTAGAGATGCAAGAGCGTGGTTTTCTGAACCCATGTTGAGCGGGCGAGATTAGGTTAAGAAGTTCCACGTGACATTGAAGAAAGCGTTTCAGGATCCTCTCCATGACCTTACAGATGACTGAGAGCAGGAAATGGGCCTATAATTAATACGGTCTTGCCGATCCCCACCTTTGTATATAGACTTCAAGACGCTTACTTTCCATTTAGAAGGCAATCGGCCAGTTGCGAGAGTCGAAATACTTAACTCAAGAGAGCAACGATGTACTCCGAAAGTATCGGTGATCACACACGGCTAATCGTACACTTTCAACAAAAAGTGGGCAGGTGCTTGATCCATATAGTAACATGGGCGTCATCGCAGTATTATACAACCTACTATTCACTGGCAAGCTGATATCACGCCGTCACCATAGACGACTGAATCTTTGGAAAGGCACACGAGCCTTACTGATACGCGAAGTAACCTCTTCAGCGATGTGACCACTAGATTTGACTCATCCAGGTAAGTGAACTGATCCACCACTTCCAGTCACTGTTCAAGAATAGCCAAAACCGGAGATGCGTCGGCCTAGTCCTGCAACAGCACCACAGTTTGATGACACAAAATGCATGCCGAATCGTGCGACACTACATACAATGTTGTCAGCCGGTCGTCTGGCAGAACTTCCACACCAAAATAGTCTTAAAGAACGAAGTCATTTATGATCGTTTCGATAACAAAGTTAAAGAGGAAAGGAGATACTGGACAAATCTGGGGAACCCCACTTGCCATCGGGAACTCAGAAGACAGATTTCCGTAGACCCTTCTACGGCCTCAGAAGTCACGGTACGTTGAGTTCATTCAGGTGTAGAGAGCAGGAGGGAAAACCCTTGTCAGCCCCATCGATTGCGTAGCATAGTGGCTTTGATGCGTGTCGTTGCTTTACGATGTTCCTCGAAAGTTCGTCGCAATTGCAGTGACAGCCGAAAGACTCCAGCATTCTCAGCGAATATTTGTCTGGCAGCCGCATGTAACTTTTCTCGGATGGCGCGTCTGCAATTTCTTCCGGTAGGCCGTTCCAATCATTTGCCACTGGTGTATAGGGTGACGGCCATGCGAATTATGTCTTCTTTGCTTAAACAGCTTCCATGTGTGGTCTCGTGTGGAATAGTCAGTGTTGGGTCGGAAGAACTATTATAACTCACTTCCAAATTCCTCTCGGAGGATGCACTTAGTGTAGATGGGATCACCCCAGCGACGGCGGAACTCCAGGGAGAACAGATATAAGTGCTGGAGTCGAAGGGGGTACGGGATATCACAAAGCCCCAGAGCAGCTTTCGATGCAAGTCTCTGAACCTTTTCCAGCAGAGCGCATTCAAACTTTGAAAGCGGATGGATAGCTGGTAGGCCATATTCTAGGACTTGACGGAGGTACGAAGTGAACAAAGGTCGAATAATCTCCGGAGTCATTCGAGTGAATGATCTTCTTAAGGCATCCACCAATCTCCTTCCAGTGGCCACCTTTAACGTGAATTGCGTCGTTCTAAGGTAAGAAGTCACCATAACCCCGAGATCTCTCTCGCGAGTGGTATCTCTGAGGAGAAACCCACCAATGTGGTATGCACAGTATGGTTCAGTGCTACCCATTGGGAGAACAGCGCATTTATCTCGCTTTACTGGCAATTCCTACTTGATGGACCATTCGTGTAGCTGGTCTAGATCCCCTTGTAGTCTGTTCGCCTCCTCAAGGCTGGATACTGTTGATCACAGCCTGAGGTCATCGTGGTAGATCAAGCAGTCGGTTTGAAGTGCAGTTGGCAGATAGTTGATGTACAGTTGGAAGAGCTCTGGTCCAAGCAATGATTCTTGGGAACGTCACAACCCCTTTTCTCAATTCGTTGCATCGTTCCCCCAAGTGTTTGCATCGGTCACGCTTGATGTTGCATCGTGTGCGTCTTGTGACACGTTGCACTCGTATGAGCCATACTCATGGAATGTGTTCCCGACGAGAGATCACGTGATCCCCTTGTCACCATGAGTATGGCTCATACGATTGCGCAAGTGCAACGTGTCACATCTGAAGGCCCTCACTTCGGAGCTGGCCTCGGTTGGAGCTTCACGGCTCCCTGGTTGGGGTCCAAAAGACGGTGAACACGTTTGGCTGGATACACTTGCTGATATGGCAAGGAGTCGACCTCAGTGGCGTTCCTGCTGTGAGTTTCTTTGTCCCTCCCCATCCCTTTAGCCTCCCCCTCCATCTACGATCTTATTTCGTAGGGTAAAACGTAATTAAATTTTTGTTTTTGCCTAGTAGCCGGCTGGTATCTTACCGGAACGATGCGTATCCGTTGCTGGTAGCTCAGCTGGCATTCAACTGTCGTATTTATTTTTCATTTATGTATTGTATGTATGTATGTATTTCCTTTATGTATTGCGGTACAATAGCGGAGGTGTTTTACCATCTCTAGCTGACATGTATAATGATGATGATGACGTGTCACATCACGTACGCGATGCAACTTCAAGCGTGACCGATGCAAACATTTGGGGGAACGATACAACGAACTGAGAAAAGGTATAGTCATAGGCACAGGAGCAGAGAGGGTTTGGTTACCTTGTACGCGCATGTCCT